CAAAGGCCCCTGGCTGCGGGGGTGGTGGGTGGGGACCAGGGCCAAGGCCCTCGCACTAATTTTGTGCATCGGGCCTATAGTACTTTTATAAACAGGAATAAAGCACTTTTATTTTTCTCTCTGACCAATTCCTCCAGAATTTGTAATTTATTTTTATTTTCTTTTTTTTACTGACTTTCTTTTTTTTATTGTTTAAAGTATTACATATGTCTCCTTTTTCCCCGATTGACATCTTCCCCTGCCCCCCAGGACAAGCCCCCACCACCCCAGTGTCCGTGTCCATTGGTTATGCTAATATGCATGCATACAAGTCCTTTGGTTGATCTCCTACTCCCCCTCCCCTGCCTTCTCTCTGAGGTTGGACGGCCTGTTCAGTGTTTCTTTGTCTCTGGATCTGTTTTTGTACATCAGTTTATGTTGTTCATTATATCGCACATGTGAGTGAGATCATGTGATATTTATCTTTCTCCGACAGGCTTATTTCACTTAGCATAATGCTCTCCAGGTCCATCCATGCTGTTGCAAATGGCAAAAGTTTCTTCTTTTTTATATTTTTATTTTCATGGTTATACAATTATTTGCCTAGGTTCAATAAGAACCTGCCCTCCTTCTTAACAGGATGTAATTGGAAACATAACCAAGGCTCTGAATGGAATGTCATATTTGAAAGATGCTCGTAGAATCAGATATGACCTGATAATTTATAGTAACTAACACTACCCTATTATATTTTTAGGTTTTAGGTGAGTTTTTTTCTGCGGGGAGGGGGGGAGGGCATACTGCCACCAAGTCCTGGAAATATCTAGTTAGGAGCTACAGTTGTAGTCCTTGTCTTCTGAAGTAGGAAAACCTCTTCTTCCTTTTCCAATTGTACTCACGTAGCCTAGAAGGTGGCTGAGGTTGGGGTGAGAAAGTAGCTACAGGGGCACTAGTTCAGTAGCTATTAAACACTGAGTCCCAAGTTCCCTGCTCATTCATGAAGGACTTTTTCTATCATGTTTCTATCTTTGGACTTTCTTAATCACCCTTTAAAAAAATTTTTAGTGATTTCAGAGAGAAAGGGAGAGGGAGAGAGAAATAGAAACATCAGTGATGAGAGAGAACCATTGGTTGGCTTCCTCCTACATGTGGGATGGAGCCTGCAACCTGGGCATGTTCCTTAACCAGGAATTGAAATAGTGATCTCTTGGTTCATAGGTTGATGTGAAACCACTGAGCCACGATGGCTGGGCTAATACCCCTTTTTTGGTCCCTGGGCTGGATCAAGACATAGATGGCATGCAAGTTGTATTTTCAGATATAAAACTCAGCAGCTTGGATCACTTGATAAACAGAATGATAATTCAACAGGATTCTTTATATTATCTAATAAAGAGGGAATATGCAAATTGACTATCATGCCATAATGGTCAAGATGGCTGTGCCTAAAGTGGAGGCAGGGATTCTGTAACATAAGATGGCTGTGCCCACAGCAGAGGCCAAGTTCCCGTAATGAGCCTTAATGAGCAATCAACAGGGACCTGAGGTTGCGTGGCTGTGCCCCCCACCTGGTGGGGTTTGACAGGGGACCTCAGGCCTCGCTCCCTGCCTGGCAGGGCTTGATGGGGGACCTCAGACTGTGCCCTCTGCCCAGCAGGGCTTGACGGGAGACCTGAGGCCACACCCCAACCCCAGCACCAGGCCGGGGGACCTCAGGCCATGCCCCCCGCCCCGGCAGTGGGCCAGGGGACCTGAGGCTGCATCCCACACCTGGCGGGGCTTGACAGGGGACCTCAGGCCATGCCCCCTGCCTGTGGGGCTTGATGAGGAACTTCAAGGCATGCCCCTGCCCAGGCCCAGGCTGGGGGACCTCAGGCCATGCACCCCACCCTGGGCCAGGGGACCTGAGGCTGTGCCCCCCGCCTCACAGGGCTTGACGGGGGACCTCAGGCCACACCAGCTGCCCCAGGCCAAGGGACCTCAAGGTGCACCCCCCCAGCCTAGACCAGGGGAACCTCAGGCTGCGCCCCCCTCCATGGCGCCGGGTCAGGCGACCTGTGGTCAGGCCCCCCCCCCCACACACACAGTGGGGCCTGACGGGGGTGAAGCTGGCCAGGTTTGGATCCATCCCAATGCAGGTGGGGCCAGTCGGGTCTGGATCTTGCATGATTTTGAGGCACATGTGGGTGGGAGGGGACTCGACTCTGGTTCCCATGGTGCACCCCAGACTCTGACAGGAGGAAGATTTTCATATACATTCTACTAATTTTCTTTCATCTCTGACACTTCTATTATAGTGAAAGGGCAAACAGCAATACTAAAATATTTCCTCTAATTAATTCACTTTTAACATGCACCGGGTCACTAGTATATATATACTAGAGGCCCAGTGCATGAAAATTCATGTACTGGAGGAGGGGGTCCCTCAGCCCGGCCTGCCCCCTCTCACAGTCTGGGAGCCCTCAGGGGTGGGAGGCAACCTGGCTATCAGGGAAGGCGATGCCTCCATCACTCCTCTGCTGCTGCCACTGCTGGCAGCACAAGCCTCACTAGCCCTGGTTACCTGTGCCTTGGACTGACCCTGGGCAGCTGGGCAGCCGCCATCTGAGGCTTGGCTGTACCTTGGGCCAGCCCTGAGCAGTTGGGCAGCTACCATCCGAGGCTTGCCTGTGCCTTGGGCCGGCCCTGGATGGCTGAGCAGACGCCATCTTGTGAGGGTGTGACAATTTGCATATTACCTCTTTATTATATAGGACAGTGATGGCGAACCTTTTGAGCTCAGTGTGTCAGCATTTTGAAACACCCTAACTTAACTCTGATGCTGTGTCACGTATAGAAATTTTTTGATATTTGCAACCATAGTAAAAAAAAGATTTATATTTTTGGTATTTATTTTATATATTTAAATGCCATTTAACAAAGAAAAATCAACCAAAAAAATGAGTTCGCATGTCACCTCTGACATGCGTGTCATAGATTCGCCATCACTGATATAGGATATGTATATGTATATGCATATATCTTATATAATAAAAGGCTAATATGCAAATTGTTCCCTCAGGAGTTCAACCAAATGGGAGTTTGACTGACCAGGAGTTTGACCACTCGCTATGACATGTGCTGACCACCAGGGGGCAGTGTGGAATGAAGGAAGGCTCCAGGTGGCAGCCAGAGGGCCCTGATCGCCTACCCATGCTCGAATTTCGTGCACTAGGCCTCTAGAGTGTGTGTGTGTGTGTGTGTGTGTGTGTGAGTGTGTGTGTGTGTGTGTGTGTGTGTGTGTGTGTGTGTGTACTAGATGCCCGGTGCACAAAAATTTGTGCACTGGCGGGGGAGGGTGTCACTCAGCCCCACTTGTGCCCTCTCACTGTCTGGGACCCCTCGGGAGATAACCACTTGCTGGCTTAGGCCCACTCCCTGGGTGGCAGATGGCAGGCCTGATCCCTTGGTGCCTGCCCCGCCTCCCCGGGTCGCGCACACGGCAGGGCCGATCCGGGGGTTGGGGCGCCACCACGGGTCGGGTCACACATGGGAAACCTGGGCTGGCCTGCAGATCGCTGCTGCCCAACCCGGCCACCCCGGGTCGGGTTGAACACAGGATGCCGAGATGGAGGCTGGGCGGGCTGGCTGATCGGTGCTGCACCACCCGGTTGCCCCAGGTTGGGTCGCACACAGACGCCTGCCGCCCTGGGTCACAGATAGCAGGCCCGGATGGCGGCAGGGCAGGCAGGATGGTGCTGTTCCGCCCCACAGCCCCGGGTTGCAAATAGCAGGCCCAGATGGCGGCAGGGCAGGTGGGATGGCGCTGTCCCGCCCTGCCTGCAGTATGCAAATTAGCCGCCATCTTTGTTGGTGGTTAATTTGCATATCGTGCTGATTAGCCAATGGGAGGCGTAGCAAAGGTATGGTCAATTACCATGTTTGTGTATTATTAGATAGGATATATATTTATTTATTTTCAGAGAGGAAGGGAGAGGGAGAGAAACATCAATGATGAGAATCATTGATAGGCTGCCCCCTGTAACCCCCCTCTCCCCCCCACACTGGGGATCAAGCCCACAACTGGACCATGTGCCCTGATCGGTAATTAAACCGTGACCTCCTGGTTCAGAGGTCAACACTCAACTACTGAGCTCTGCTGGTCAGGCTGATTCAGCAGGATTCTGATAGCCAATGGCAAGAAAGATGAAACTTTCTTGCCCATTGGTACGCAGCTGGAAGGATGGGTTCAATGTGTGTTGGAGGACACCTCTGAAAGTGTTTGAAGATGAATATTCATAATTACTGTCAAAGAAGAGTTGATGGGACCAGGGGTGTTTAAATGGGAGAATAGTTAAAAGGAGAACTTAATAATCTTCATCTATTTTAGGGGCCGGCACATAGAAAGGGATTATAGATTACCAGAGGGTGATAGTTTAAGGGAAACAGAACTCAACTGAAGAATGTATTTTCTAAAACTGGGCCTGTCCACAGACACAATGGGCTTACAGAGACTGTGCTCTTGGTCATTGCAAGTTTGCAATACAGACTAGGTAGCCATTTGTCTGCAATTGTAATGAAGGAGAGGATGGCTCCCAAAGAAGAACATATTCTTCATCTGACAAGTCAAGAATTCCCCCTTTTTGTGCATGCATAGTTTCAAAATCTTGCTATTTTTTTCTCTTTAGATTTGATGCTTTTAAAAGTATTTACCAGCTTTTATAGAGAAAATGGCTTTAAGTAACAGGAGAAAATAAATCACACAGCCAAATACATCAAGTTATTACACTTGAAAAAGAAATATTGTGCCCCAACCGGTTTGGTTCAGTGGATAGAGCATTGGCCTGCAGACTGAAGGGTCCCAGGTTTGATTCCGGTCAAGGGTATGTACCTTGGTTGCAGGCACATCCCCATTGGGGGGTGTGCAGGAGGCAGCTGATCGGTGTTTCTCTCTCATCGATGTTTCTAATTCTCTATCCCTCTCCCTTCCTATCTGTAAAAAAATCAATTAAAATATTTTTAAAAAAGGAATATTGACAATGTAATATCTTAACATTTATTATAAGTGTGTACATTAATGTGGGTTAAGCAAGTATGATTAAAAACATTAGGTAATTAAAAAGCAAAAGTGTAATGCAACCACCCCTCTTCCTGGAGTCTGCAGAATTCCATGCCTTTTTAGAATTGAAAGAGGTTGTTTTGGATTGAAATCAATATTGGTCTTGCAAGCTTTCTGTCAATATCTTGCATGTTGGTTCTAAAACTGCCTTAAAGGCAGAGTGTATCTTGAAGGTGGGGGAGCCAGCCTATCTTGGACCTCTTTATTCTGCACTCCATCAGCTGGGCCTGTACCAAGACTCAGAGATAGCATTTCCTACACGAAGGAGTGACCTTTCTTTCCCTTTCACTTATTCACTTAGCATCTATGTGTCAGTGCCTACCGTGTGGGAAGTACCATGCTGTAGGCTAGACTTCAGAAAGACCAGCTTACATTTAGTGTTGGTGATCCGTGCCATTTATTCCCCTCAGAGAAAATCTGATGCACATCTATGCAAATAACTGGAATGTTCCACTCAATCATTTGGCAGGAAGAACAAGTCCACCAGCCAACGTGCATAGGGCTCAGAAACTGGAGAGAGATGGGAGACATTTTCTAATTAAATCAAGAGAAGAGGCCCTCATTTTTCATTAGAAACACTGTGAGGTTGTAACTCTTCTCAAGAAGCTTATACAGTGATGCTGGTCCCAAAGACAGAGAAGAATAATTGAACCTGAACAGAGCATCACTGGCCTGCATCTGTCCAGCCAGCCAATGGGTTTCCACTAGCGTGGACAGAGTCTGGACCGGGAAATAGGTCACTGAAGGCCCTGTGCTCAGATTGGCTAGCCCACTGGAGTTTTCCCTGGGTTGACAAATTCCTCTTTGGGAAGGTCTCTGAGCAAATCTCTTCCCAGATGAGAGCATCTCAGTTCAGAGCTGTTTTCATAGAAAGAGGAGAGGGAGAGGGGCAGTTTGGTACTTCATGGGGGGTGGGGGAGGGACTCAGGATGCCCGGAGGAGCAGTGCAATTTCTCACCTTCCCCTCTTTGTTAGAGCATGCCTCAGGGGAGGTTTGCGGGGGGTGTGTTGTGTTACCTGGCAGGATTAAGTAAACTCCGCACAGTGCTTGGCACATACTCAACACTAAATTAATGCTGGTTGTTGTGGTTACTGTACTGGAGAGAAACAGCAATGGTTCTGCATAATTCAATGACCACTTTTCTGAGTCTCAATACCCTCATCTGTAAACTGGGGACAAGAATGCCCTCTGCACATAATTAGTATGGGGATTGATACCATTACTTTGTGATGTCTGGAATGTAGTAAGGCCTGGAGAGATGTTAGTTGCTTTTCTCCCTTCTTAATCCTGCTGGAGTGTATACACTCTAAAACCTACTTTAGAAAATTTCTGTGTCAAGTTTAGGGACTGGGAATTGAGAGCAAAGGTATTAATCAGCTATCAAGGTTCAGACATAGGTGTTCCTTTGGTCTGTAGCCTCCTAAGAATCACATCCTATATAATTTAAACCAAATTATGTAAACTTTCTAATACATACCTTCAGGAAAAATAACCTCAACTATATAGTGAAAGGTGGGTAGAAGGAGGTAATTAAAAACTGCTATATACTTCAATCAAAAGCAACTAGCTACTTTTAAAAGTATATGGAAAGTTTAAACATGTATATATGGCAAATAGACAAGCTAAATATTGGCCTATGCCAATCTCTAGCATTCAATGCCTGCGATTTACCCACCAGGGATCGTCATCAGTCTTTAACCTGGTCCCTCAGAAGCATCAGCGGTCTCCTTGTATTCTAAAGTCCCAAAGGTACACTCAGAGATGCGAACCAAAATGTGATTTGCTCTCTGTCCCAAGTCAGTACACACTGAACCCAATGCTTCTGCCTCTGCCTATCATACCAGGCCACCTAAACTCGTCAGGAAGCCAACCTGCCTTAGGGAAGCAAAGATGGAATTCTTGTTCAATCCTCTTTGCTTGCACCTGATATAAGATCATGGATGTGAAGCACTTTCTGACCTATAAAAAGCTACACACACAAGTAATTATCATAGCATCATTAACATATGCTACTAGATGTAAGCAAATTCAACTTGAGAAGGGCAAAAGCATGAAGAAATCAAATGGTGAGGGAAGAAGAGCCAGCAACTTGGGACAATTGAGGATGGCCAAACTTGTCCAGGAGTCATCAGCTTCGGGAGCTAAAAGAAAACAGAAGCAGCCATGAGATTAGAAATACACATCCCATCTAATGACCAGTCAGAGGCTCCTGGGGTTGGGTGACTGTTCCAGGTATCACGGGTAACAGTGCAGGTCAATGTGCCTTCTGGAGAGAAGGTAAAACGGGCTTGTAGCTGGTGGAACACTTGGGTGCAACCCATTTCCAGTTCCTTCAAGGGAGATATTCTGGTCTGTGCTTCTAGCTGAGGAGGTGCTAAAGATGAAGGGCTGCCAGGATCTGGAAAGGCAGTGTCCTACGACACTGGGTCTCATGTGACTCAGACACGGATGGATTCTGTTGGCTTTTAGTGTGCAAATCTATCTGCAGGCAGTGTTGACAATGTGGCCCAGAGACCATCCAAGCAACCCTTCCTGGTCAGGCCAGCCCCAAGATGGCACCATCCCCTCCCACAGATGCCTACTTATCCTGGCCTTTACCTGTTGCTGTCCCCAGCTGTATCTTGTTTTACTGAACCCCTTTGGCTATTGAGTTCTGATCTTATGCTACACAAGCAATGGTGAAGGTGGCCGAAGGGCCTATAGCAGAAAGTCCTGAACCTGAATCTGAAGTCCCGGGTTGAGGTCCTGATCTTGCCATATAGCAGCGAGGTGTTTCCCCAGGCCCGTTTCCTTCCTAGGTCTTCATTTCCTTGTTCCTGCAACAAGGCTAACAACATATGCCTGGCTGGCCTCCCAGGGCAGCTAGAGGGCTCAACTGAGGTGCTGCATTGAAGGTGCTTCTTGAGAGGAAGAGACTATAACCCCTGCAAATTACAAGTGTTCCTGGGGAGGGTCTTTCCACCTAAGACTTCAAAGTATCATAGCGCATAGGGACAGAGGACTTGGGGCCTCCTGAACATACAGGTTAAGAGAGATAGCAGTGCCCTGGGTTGAGACTCAGAGAGATATCAGGGCACATTTTTTCCCTCTGATAACCCTGGATGCTTGGCCTCTGGGGTGCCAAAACCTACCTAGAAGAGTTTCTCATAGCATTTCCCACAGTGGATGGTGTCACGGTGAATGAAGATCTGATCCAGGAGCTCACCCATCGGTTTATTGCAAATCCCACACTGAAAGAGAAAGAAAGCCAGAGGTCAGCATTCAAGTGAAGCAACATAAACGAGTGCAGTGGAGAGAAAGCACCTGACCAAGGTAGGCAGGCAGACACTGAGCAGAAGGCACACCCTAGAATTTGAAGCAGACAATTGAAAAATGGCAGAAAACAGATACAAAACCAAACTAGAAATGAAACAACAAAACAAAACCCCACAAAAACTAGCAAGCAGGATGATCACATAGTGGGTAGTAGCCCTGGTTTCAGAACTAGGCCTGGCTTTGAGCTCTAAATCCACTAAGCAGATCCTCAATAACATGGTTTTGTCATAATGTTGATGAGATGCCGTAGGAACTTAACTCTTGTTTCTAGTGGTAGAATTTGTGTGTGTGGTTTTTTTTTAGTTTTTCAATATTTTCATTGATTTCAGAGAGGAAGGGAGAGGGAGAGAGAGACAAAAACATCAATGATGAGAATCATTGATTGTCTGCCTCCAACGCCCCCCACTGGGGATCGAGCCTGCAATTCAGGCAGGTACCATGACCAACTGGGAATTGAACTGTGACCTCCTGGCCCACAGGATGAATCTCAACCACTGAGCCACAACAGCCGGGCTTGGTTTGGTTATACATTAAAATTGGTTTAAGAATATAACGTTATATGCTTAAAGTCGCAGAACCTATTGGCAACATTACGAACTCATTGTATTATCAATGTTTCTGTCATTTTAGTTACTGTGGACCAACACTTGAACCTCAACTTAGCCAACTGATGGTGCTGATCATTTTGGGGATCACCTCCAGGAACACAGCAAAAATCAACAATCTGGCTTGCCACGTGCTCCACACTGTGAAGAACAGGGACACTGAAGAGTTGTTATGATGCTTCAGCCATGGTGTCCTCCCTTTTTTTCTAAATGTAACAATACCAGCTGGTATTTTAAAATGTTATATCAACCTGATAAAGGTAAGAAAAACCTACAATTAAGGCTATTGACAGACTAGTTTATACAAATGAGCTTGAGCAATGGGGTGACCTTTCCTGAGAGGCAGCAGAGTATAGTGGAATAATGTTGGCTCTGATGTCAGAACCAGGATTGCTAACCCTTGGTTCTGAGCAGCTCTGTGATCCTAGAAAAATAAATCCCTTTCCACCCTGTGCTCATGGTACCCGACCTATCTTCCCAGAATCCCCCAAGAATATCAGGCCTCACCATTTTGCCACAACTCCAACTTCCCCAGCTCTTATAGGAGCACCAATCAGGCAAGTTTAAAATCACTGCCCCTCCATGTCTATGTCCCCACACCTCCTTCTTCGCCTGTGGACCTCCTCCTTTCCTCGTCCTATTCCCTCTGTGCCATGGACCTGGAGGCAGCTGCCTTTGCTCATGTTCAGCCACCTGGAAAATACCTCTGTGTGCCCCTTCACTCCAGACTCCAGACCCACATCCCTCACAAAGCCTTTCCGGGGACTCCCACCCACTCTGGCTGAGCCTTCCCCTAACACTAGCGCTGTGAAACCAAATGCATTGAGAGCTACTTATTTCTCAGGCTCCTGGAATTTTGCTATTTAACAGGAGTGCTCTGGAATTAAGTATATAACTAAAAGTTGACAGCATCTTCTAGGACTTTTCACATAAGTTCAGGAATCAGGAAATGAAATGTTCATAGTCAAACCACATGTAACGATATGGTGAAAGATGTAATCCTACTTGGAGTCCACAGAACACAACTGGCCCTCAAATTATCTCCCCTGTCCCCTTCTTATTGCAAAGATCTGCTGTCTTCTTGCACTGATTCCCTACAAAGCCAACCACACAAGAGAGTCTTCCAGACTCACTTTTTCCATTTCCACATGCCCTGTTCTCTCATTAGCTCACTTTAGTCAGGCTTCGGTCTCTAACACTTATTCACTCCCTTGGACTTGGAAGCTCATTCAGCTCCCAGTTCTGCAAGGCCGATGGAATGCAATCATACTGAGATCAAGCCTTCTGAACCGTTAACACTCCCTAACTCTGGACAATGCTCTCAGCAGCTACACCCCCTTCCTTACCTTAAAGCAATAGTCATGGCAGCAGATGCCAAGATGTTCGAGGGTAATCTTTGGACAGTCTCGGATCTCTCGGTTGCAGTAAGTACAGATTCCTCCGGTTGTTCTGTGAGATGAAAAACAAGAACCTGGTGGTCAGTCTGGCATGCAGACTACTAATGTGATACAGCTATACCCTCTAGTTTGATATAGCCAGGCTTAGGTTTGCTGCCAGTGTTCTCAGCCTGCCAACTTGTTATGTGGTGTGCAATTGGCCACATAGCCCTGGGCCAGCCTACGCCACTGTGGACCCTCATATTATTTCCAGAAAGTGGTCATGCATCTTCATACTCACTATTAAATGTGTAGACACCCTGATGTGATTCTTATTCCAGTCAGCTTTCCTCTCCCTGCCCCCTGCCTAGCATAACTGCTCCCCTCTAGAACAAGAAGACCCATGTCTTCTCCTACAGGAGACATGTACCTGTATGCCAAGCATGTCAAACTCGTGGCTCGCAGGCTGCATGCGGCCCACAACGAATATTTTTGCGGCCCAGCCAATATAATGGTATGTAAGAAACGTTTTAATAAAAATTCCATAACTTAATTTTTACAATATCCTGTTATACATAATTATTAATAACAAACTACAATGTTCGCTAATGATTGATTACTATAATCATGTTACATTCATTTCCCTTATGCACCTTATGCGCAGGTGCACCATTTCTCTCCACTAATACTAGCAGTGAATATTTTAGCAGCTGATGGCCACATCATTAGTCTTGTACTGAAGTGTTTGGTGTGCGCAACAGGAAGTATTTTGCTTTCGGAGAACAAGAAAAATAGGTTTATTTGTGAAATAAATTGTGTCCTGTTTTACTGTTTCTGATCCAGTTATTCAGTGTCTGGTAAGTTAATGTTCAAGAAAAAAATATTGATTTTTATTAAAATGTTCTATTATTTAATGTTAACGATGACTCATTTATTTCAGCCTTTTGTATTCAGCATGTCTCTATTGAAATAAACCTACATTTCTATGAAAATTGAAGCTTTTATTTGTTTGCGGCCCACATAAACTTAAACCTTGTTTATTTGGCCTGTGTTAGCCTTTGAGTTTGACATGCCCTACCTGGCCAGGATGGCACTTCTGTTCATGCCCGGGACAACTGAGCCCTGCCTCTCATATATTTTTGGACTCCTGTAATACTTACTATGTGACTTAAGACACGTTATTTATTCTTTCCAGACCTGTTTTCTTCACTGTGACCTGAGTAAACTTCATCTCTAAGATTCCTTGCTCCCCTATGCCAAGAATTGAAAAACAGGACTTCTTGGCCAGGTGGTTCAATTGGTTGAGTGTTGTCCCACACCCCAAAAGGTTGCAGGTTTGATTCCTGGCCAGGACACATTCCTAGGTTGTGGGTTCAATCCCCAGTCAGGGTGTGTATGGAAAGCAACCAATCAATATTTCTCTCTCTCCTTGATGTTTTTCTCTCTCTCCAAAATCAATAAAAAATATTTTTTAAAAGAAAAATAGGACTTCTTTTTCATTAAGATCATCCCATGACGGCTGTCATTTAGTGACAGCTTTTGAAACTGCTGAATGAGATGCTCTCTGCACCTTAATTCATTTCAAATGAATGGTTCTTTCTGACTCTTTTCTGGATTCTTGGTGAGAGCAACTCACTTTTCTTCATTTCCCACCCACCTCTCTCTTTCGTAGTTCTTTTCCTTCTAGTCAGATTTGCAAGTTCATGAAGTGACCAATTGGGTTCTAATCCCAAGGACCTCTCTTGCTGACATGAGCCCCTTGTGCTTTCAGACACCAACATGTCCTTTCTCAGAAGCCCTTTGTGTCTACCCTCCAGTCTTAGATGGGTTGAAGGCTTTAGTTGACACTAGTGTGACATCCCTATAAGGGATGCACAGTGGTGTGACAGATCTGAAAGTGGATCAGAAACAGTAAAACAGGACACAAGAGCGATCGGACTTAGTGTGGAAATCTCCCTCAACTGTTTCTCCTCTGTAGACCTGTAAGCTCCCTGGTAAGACAGAAGACTCACCTCTCAGAGTATGGCGTGCTGTCATATGTGGGTTTCTTCTCCATGTTGAAGGAGTCCTCAGTATTGCTGATGCTGCAGTGGTGGTAAAGGAAGAGGATGGCAGAAAATGAGAGCCAGGTAACTACCACAGTCACGAGTGGGGATGCTTTTCTTATTAACACAGTGGCCACAAGCTGAGACATAACTCTGCACAGCCAGCTATCATCTGTTATGCAAAATGGCAGGGGAAGCTTTAAACTTGGCGCCAAGGAGGCAAAGTTCTCTTGGAGAAAAGCCCTTGCATGGGGGGCAAAGAGAATCTGCCATGGTGAAGCATGGCTCTGATTCTTGAGGCTGTGTATACCATGAAGGCCCCCAATTCACTGACCAGTAGAAAAGGAGCAGAGCTTTTCTCCCCATATACGTGTGTGAGCTGTAATGTGACAGTCACCAGGAGCCCACTCATAGCAGAAATTAGACACTACAGATGGGAACAAAGAACACATTCTGACATACACCTGTGCTTGGGTTATAGGAAGTGAGATTTTTTTCCTTATTCATCATCGTTTTTCAATAACAAGACTTTTTATAATACAAACTAATGGTTAAAAGATACTAGTAAAACCATTGCCAGTGAAGGACTACTAATTGCAGTCCCTGTGGTATGCTTAGTGTAGCTGCCATTCTCACAGGAGCCATATAATAATCCCCTGAGTTAGTCAGGAAAACTGACTCAGAGGCTAAGTGACCTGCCTAAGGTCACACCCAAAAGAAGTGGTGAGCTAGAGTTTCAGCCCAGGCTCTGATTTCTTCTGAGAATTAAGCTTATCTCAGAGCCTCCTGAGGCAAAAAGGGAAAACACAACGGACTGGACAATTCTCACTATCCAATCAAGAAGTCTACTGGCTTGTCATAAGACCTACCATTTTGACTGGATGTTAAATTCAATATTAAAATTAATTTAATTGTCAGAGTGTAGGAAATAAATTTAACAGAGTAGTGGGACTGGGAGAAGAAAAAAACAAAAAAAGGGACAAAGTTCAGTCAGATGACACTCATAGAGGCAGATGCTAGATGGCAAGGGCAGCTCCCTTGGGAGTGCTGGAGGTTTTACATACATTATTTCTAAACTCAAAGCCTCTCTGAACAAAGCTACAGAGATAGAAAATAGATCAGTGGTGGCTAGGGGCTGTGTGGCTGGTGGTGTGGAGAGTTGCTAACGGGTACAGGGTTTCCTTCTGGGGTGATGAAACGTTCACGGGGAACTGGATAGTGTTAATGGTTGCACAACATTGTAAATGTACTTAAAAAAAACCACCGGACTGTGCATTTTAAAAAGTGAAATTTATGATATGTAAGTTATATCTCAATAAAGCTGGTGAGAAAAACCACCCTAAGGAGTTACAGAAGAAGAAATTGAGGCTCAGAAAGGTTGAGTATCTTGACTGAAATAATTCAGCTACTAGGGGTTTGAGGTGGGGCTTGAACATTACCCCCATGTCCATGGTCATCATTTCATAGCACCAGTGAAAACTGGTTCAGCATCCCCAGAGGGCCAATCCTGAAATAAGACCAGGATGCTTCTCTGTTTCTAAAATCCTCACCCTAGCAGTGAGATGGTGTGTCATAAAAAATATTCCCGGGGAGGGGGATGCTGTCTCAGTGTAGGTTGTTTTCATTGATGTGGCATAGGGGAAACCCTCACATGGCTTCAGGAAACAAGAAGAAAAAGAGATGATGAGTAAAATGTTACACACATATCAGGACCTACAGTCAACTGTGTGTTCAAATGAGGCAACTTGGCATGCTGAAAAGAGCGTGGGAACTGAAGAGAGGATCCCTATGTTCTGGTGCAAGATGAAATTAACTACATTGTCTTGTAAGGGCCCCGCCACTTCTGTAAAGAGTGATACTCTCAGTATTTCACAAAAGAAAGCTTGTAGTCTATCAAGAAACAAAGACAGGCAGAAACAGGTGGCACTGGAAGTGGGGTATAAGATGAATTAATGATAAAGGAACACAAAGGCACTCAGTTAGGAAGAACAGCTGGAAATGCATAAATCATGTCCATAGGCAATTACATCATTCATCCATTCAATACATGGTTACACAGAAGTTACTCTGGGACAAGTCCTGGTTGAGGTACTGGGGATGCAGGAATAAGGATGCCACAGGGCCCCGCAGGAGAAGGCCATGACATGAAAGATTCAGGGACTTGCTCTTACCTGCTGTAACGTGAAGACATCAGCTTCCCGGAAGATACCTCACTAGCATTCATGTACTCCTTCACGAAGAGAATCCCTTTGCTGTAGAAGGAGCACAGTGGAACAGAAAGAGGTATACTGGGCTCTGGCTAGGTAGCTCAGTTGGTTAGAGCATCATTCTGATACAGCAAGGTTATGGGTTTGATCTCCAGTCAGGGCACATACAAGAGTCAACCAATGAATGCATAAATAAGTGGAACAACATCTCTCTCTCTCTCTCTCTCTCTCTCTCTCTCTCTCTCTCTCTCATTTAAAATTTAAGAAAAAAATAAAAGAAATAGGTATACTGAAAGATTTCAGGGGACTAGGCCTAGCTTCATGGAGGCGTTCAGGGCTAGGAGGACCCCCAGCTGGTTTGAAGGAAGCAAAGGATAATGGGAAGGCCTGGGGACAGAGGCGCAGGTGTGCCCCAGCTGCCACTGGGCAAGGAAAGTGGCAAACAGGAGCTGTTGGACTGCTAAGCCTACTGGGAACTCAGGCTGAAATCAAAGTCCATGGGTTTGGCTTGCTGTGTGTGGATGTGAGAGCCCTAGAAAGAAGGTCCCTGCAGCCAGTGGTGATATGTTGTCCTCCTTCATACAGATCTTCTGAATACTACCAGATCCCCCGCCTCCCTCGCTCCCTGCAGACTTCAGTGCAGTGGCCTGCCCATCTCTCCTCTCTGACTGTACTTTCTTCCTCTTCTACTGGGACCAGAAGAGTCTCCAAGTCACAACCCTAGACTGTTGGTCCTCTCCACTCTCTGTGAATCTCCATCAGCAATCTAATCTCTCTCTTGTCACTCATGGAGCTCCAGAGGCCCAGAAGTTACCTCATGTTGGCCAGGCCCCTGGCGACATTAGAAACAAGGTCTGCCTCATGCTGGGCTCACCATGGTTTCCAATATAATCCCATTTCTCTGTCTAATGTCAGCAGAGGCCCCTCTGATCCCACCCACACACACAAACCTCACTCAGCCTCCCTGCAATGGTTCCCTTCCTACACTCTAAGCTTGTAGGTGCAGCCAGAAATGCACATGAGGCAGTGAGTGTGTGCCTCTCCTTATGAAGGATAACGTGAGGGAGACAGACATACACTCTGGCTTCAATTGGCTTTCTTTGGCCTTTCCATGAATGTCCCCCAAGAGCCATTAGCAAGGTTTTATGGATGGCAGAGCCCTAGGAAGTACCACCTCAGCCTTTCACTGGGATAGGAACTGGGGCTGCGCTATGTAGCCCCTTAACCAATGGCCACTAGGAGCTGGGGGAGGCACTAGAGCTAATGTCAGAGAAGTGACATGGGATAAAAGTCCAGTCCTTTAGCTCCAGGGAGGAAACAGCCCAGAGAACATGTCCCAGATTGTCCCTACTTACCTGGCTGAGCTGGAGTCCAATTCACTTGGGGAGGCTGGGATGTAAACGTGAGGCTGCTCAGCAGCAGCAGTGACTGTAACAGTGACCATACAGCTCGAGGGGTTTCTCACCCTGAAATAGAGGAAAGGTGAGTGTGTCCATACTGAGAGTTGATATCAAACAGGCTCAAACAGGCTTTTCGAACCCCAATCCCCAGACTGCCACTTCAAGGAGTGGGTTTTTTTTTAAATTGATGTTTTTAAAATAACCCTTGCAAATCACTGAGCTTTGCTCTTCCAGACTCCTGAGGTCAATCGGTGATATCACTAACTTTACAAAAGAGAAAACCCAGGCAAGGTGACCCAGGTTACACCATGAATCAGTGGAAAGACCCCAATCTTCCAGTACCCACCCAAAGCTCTACTGTAGTCAAGTGCATTGGCCTGTGACTTACTTGGTTAGGGCACATCATGGGGCTACTAGGGACTTGACACCCAGTTCACCCACTCACTGGATTGGACAGCCCCTTCCTAGGATCAGCTTCCCCTCCCCACACCCTCCAGTGAACTTTCCAGAGAACACAAGGCTGAGGGAGAGAGAGAGAAACATGAGTTTAAGCATCACCAAGGAAGAGATTTGGATGTAGTTAATTCTGGAAGGCACTGCCTATGAGCAGAGGCAGGAAACTGACAGGTAGAATGGTTTTTCTCAGTCTCCATCTTTCAGCGGCAACACACAGCCGTTGGCCTGGAATCCCACCCCCTACCCAGCTCACAAGGCCTTTCTCTAGCCAGGCTCTTACTTACTCTCACTCTGCCTGCTCTCAGGTCACCATTCTGATACTAAGGCTGCCATAGCTGCCTATTTCAAGTCAAGGCATCCTATTTGGCACCACCACTGACACCACTGCCCCATATGTACCATCCATATCACATCTGCCCATTCTCCAGTAGCCTAAGGCCAGTTCTATGGGTGCACACTGCCCTGGACTGGACTAATTTTGGTTTCTCTCCAACATGCGGTTCCAGATCATGCTCTGGATGTGGTCTGCCTTCGCCTAGCCGAGGCTCTGGGGCATCACTCCCTTGCCAGAGAATCCAGTGCCCAAGACCTCAACTAGTTTAAGAGTGGGGAGGGGGAAAAACAATCATGATCTAGCACCTGCCTGGCTCCCCAGCCACATCGTCCCAAATGATGTCATGTGTACCTAAAGCTCTAGCCATACTGAATAACCTCTCTTGTACCTTTGCACTGAACAACACCTTCTCTTTCAGAAAGCCCTTCCAGGGTACCTGCCTTCTCATCCCAGGCCTCAAGGTGCCTAGTCACTCTGTGCATATTCCTACATCACCCTATGACACAGGAATGTACCATGGAAACTGAAGGAGGTAGATTGTCTGAGAGGGAAAGCCCCATGGGAACCTGGAAGGACAGATAAGGGATAAAATACAGAACCAGAGAGAGTTAAAAGCCTCAAGACAAAGGACCCAGCACATGCTCTCCCTCTGGGGAGCAGCCCATGCCATTCACTTTTCCATCGTCTCCCCCCTGTTCTTACCTCACAGGTGTGACTCTCCTAAACTCTAAGGGTCCCCAGGAGACTTGCAACCAAGGGGGCAATGGGCAGCAGCAGCTTGTTCCAGGCTAATCCCCCGAATCTACTCCTAAGGACCCCTTTTCTCTGACTTCCCAGAAAGCTAAGGCTCTCCTGTTGCTTCTTCCATGGTAAGCCCTTCCTTGTTTCACTGGCCCCAGCTTTAATAAACAATGCCTGGACTCGTGTTGTGAAATTTTTCCCACACAAAGTCAAGCTGGCCATACACTACTAGCTGGCCATAGACAGACCTGCTGAGGGCCAGGTCCTCTGTCCAGTAACAGTATGCTGTGTGCTCCCTGAGGGCAGGCAGGCAGGGTCCTGTACATCTTGTTCAATGTGTTTATGGCCAGTACAGCTGGCTCACATGAGGCTATTCCCTACTCATGGCCACTATTGGAAAAGATCTCTAGGGAGCAAAGGGAGCATCCAAATACTGTCATTCAAGGCCAAACTGGTGGTGGTGGTAGTGGAAGACTTCATTGAACTTCCTTTATCTCTGGCAGGGAGTCCCATCCACACCAGAACACACCTTCCTCTGAGAACGTCTGTCTCCTTGAAGGGCAAAGGAACCCATATGCCTTTTCCAACCCAGGTATTCATGGCACAAATGGCTGCTAGATGATATGGTTCTGTGTGCCAGGCTTGGTCTAACAGATTTGATGCCATGGCTTCAAAATGAAGCCCATGTAGACCGGCCCCGTGGATGCTCTTTGCTGGTCAGCTTCCCACTGGCTCCTAAGCAGTCACACCTGCAGAAGGTAACTGGCCTGCTCAGTGTATCAGGGTTTGTTCTGGGGTGTGAAACTTGGAAAAACCCTGGCAGTAGGAGCAGGAGCCCAGCACAGTATAGTTCTTACCTGCTGGCCTGGCTCTCCAATTCCATGAGCTGCTGGAGTCTTCTGGGGCTGCTCTGACGCTCTGGAGTGCTAGGGTCTTCAGGTTGCTGGGTGGGTGCAGCCGTGTCTCCCTGGCCACCTCTCGGGGCTCTGGGCTTCTCCTGCCAGGTCTCTCCCAGCTCAGTGACCACATTCTTCTCCTCAAAACCAGCCAAGGAGCTGAGGAAGAATGAGCTGAGGAGCGAGTGTTGTGGGACTAGTCCTTGCTCACCCACTGCAAACTGATGTCACTTCCTGTGAGCATAGCAGCTCCTCTCCTGGAGGATGGAGCAGAAAGGAGCCCAAAACTGCCCCCCCATATCAGAAAGCAGTCTGTCTCCTCTTCCGAGGACCCCAGCACTGCTACTCCCTTTCCACTGACAAAGGCAGCATCCTCAAGAACACCTAGAGACTGACTTTAATGAGGTTTTAAAAGACAAAGTCTTCTCCTAGTTAGGAACAGTGGTATTCCTTCACCCCTCCTCCCACTGTGATCCCCCTTTTTTTCTAAGCCTTCCCCGTTCCAGTCCATCTGTCTTACTTAAAAAGTCCCAAGCCATATTTTATTCCCAGGCTCATGTGCTCTGACAGGTGTATGCAGCCAGGCCCTGCAAGCTCCCTCTTCCCCCAGCTCTCTGGGAAGGAGCTTGTCCCCAGGCTTCCCTGGCGAGCTGGATGGGGATACGGAGAAGGGAGCAGGGCTGTCACTCAGGCTAGAGTCTCAAGACGGTGACCCCGCAATAGGGGGAAGAGCCAAATAAGCTTAAAGGCTCCCAGGCACCTGAGATAGACTGTCAAGCCCATTCGTGATCCTCGATCGCCATCTGGTGGCCTGCACGAGCAAAGCCGTAGAATAAGCCTTGCCAAAGACCTTGTAGCTCAGGGCAGCTGTTTTCTTTATTGAAGGTCGCATTTCCTGGCGGGCACCATGGTCGCAGCTCAGGGCTGCAAGAAATGGTGGAGCGCACAGGTGCTCAATCACTGGCTAGGAAGCTAAGCGCTTATTACAGTGGTTCTCAACCTTCTGGCCCTTTAAATACAGTTCCTCATGTTGTGACCCAACCATAAAATTATTTTTGTTGCTACTTCATAACTGTAATGTTGCTACTGTTATGAATTGTAATGTAAATATCTGATATGCAGGATGGTCTTAGGCGACCCCTGTTAAAGGGTCTTTCGACCACCAAAGGGGTCGCGACCCACAGGTTGAGAACCGCTGGCTTAGGAGGAAGGCGCTTGGGCACGCAGGTGCACAGGTATTGTGGCTGCTTTGTTTTTGAAGTCAGTACTTCCTTGTCTTCTTTATTGATAAACAGTCACTGATATTATTACAGGGCAATAGCATTTTCTTCCTTTTTTTGGCAGACGAAAAAGCTGGGGTGAGGATCCTATTGCCGCTCATAAATGGCAGTCACAACAGAACTTCAACCTGCTCCCCGTGGCTCAATCTGATTACGTACCTGCCTGTACACTTCTCATCTCTAATCTGAGGATTAAAGGTGGGGTAGAAGCAGGAGCGAGGGCTCATCACTAAAGCATCCCGTTCAAAACACACAATACTGCCTTTCTCAAGCTCATCAACCTTCCTTCCCTCTCAGCCGTTTCTTTTCTCCTCCAACAGCCAAACTTCTTGAGAGGGTTTTCTGTACTGTCTTGTCACTTCCTCATTCTCTTCTCCCTGTCAACCTTCCACCAAACTACCATTGCTTCCCAATATCCCAAACTATCAGTGCTCCTTACCCCTTGTGTCTCTACACCAATATGCTACCCTTTAAGGCCCCTGCCTCCATTGGAGGTTCACCAGGATTTCAGGGGCCCCAAAATCAACCATCTGCGGCTGAAAAACCTAATTGGAAAGGATCTAGATATTTTATCCAGGTAAATGAGCTTTGGAGACACCCTGACTGATGTTTGCTTTATCCTTGGTCTCTTACCGCAAATTTAGTCTACAGTCTCCATAAAATTACATTTCAGGGCAAAAAAAAAAAAATCTTAAAAGCCTCCTCTACAAATATTAGTAGGAAGCTTTACTATTCATATTGAGCAGGTAACCTCAACTTGTACCATCTCCCAGAAACACAATTATGATAAAAATATAAAGTGAGACAAAGACAAGAATGAACCCGTATATAAATCAGTGCATTTTGTATTTCTGTGTTTATACCTGACTCATGGCTGGAAATTTAGAATTAAAGCCATAAGATCTCTATTCCTTTTTGTCTGTGTGTTTCTGTATATATGTATGTTATATATGTGTAATATTTTCTTGACTCTAGATAGTATTACCAAATTAGCTTAAGAAAATCCCTTATGCTTTATTCCAAATGACTTAGAGATAAATAAGCACTTATATAAATTAAATATTCCTAAACTCCCATAAATTACAGAAACAATTTCTAAATATTTGAAATGAAAAAATAAAGCATTCTTATAAGAACTATCCCAAATGTTTAAAAAATTAAAGTTCAAAGGTTAGGTAAATCTCTGCCAAACAAGACGAGTTTAATATTGTTAGTTTAATAATGATAATAAAAAAAACCCAGCTATGTCTTGTGAGTTATAAATGTTATAGCTAACACAATCATATATTTTTATTCTACTTGAGTATATTCTTCCTAAACATAAAACAGGTTTACTGCTTGAATAAGCTAGTATTATATCTACTCGATGTTTAAGATTACAAAAATATAAATTTGCTTTTAACCAAACTCATTATTTTGAAAACTTTATTTCAACAGTAATTATGTTTTATAATACATCACTTTTAAGACAGTTTTCAAGATCTTTTTGGTAATTTAAAACCCTAGACATATGCTAAATTAAATTAATATGCATTAAATACCTAGATCATTTTTAAGTAATAAAATACTGACATTAACCCTATTTTTAAGCTTACATATTTTTTGCTTATTTTTTGAAGCACAGAGAGGCTGTATTTAGATCTGTTAATAAATGTGTTCATTTTTTCCATGCTGAAAATATACTATAAAATGTATATAACTATAAATATTATGGGATATATATTCATAAGCTTTACTAGTCTGCTAAGAAATGTTGTATATAACATACAGTTCAAAATTATCTATCCCCTTGTGGTTTTTTTTGGTAAAATAGAAGTAACTAATTGTTAAAAATTATAATCAATATGTAGAAATGAGACTACTACAAGTAATAATGGCAAAGAGGAACAACTCTCTATGCAAGAAGAGCAAATATGTTTTTGTTAAGGAAAAAGAGAATAGTTTTGTCCTAAATTAAAATAACTAGTGATTCCAAAAACTATGTAAGACAAAATATAAATGGGTATTTTTATAATTTCAAAAGGTTCACAGAAAAGAAATTTTAATTGTCATTGTCAAAATGGACTAAAATTTAATAAGACTATAAGATTTTCTCAAAAGAGCTCTAGTATCAAATCTTATACTGATGCATAACTAAAATCTGGCTTTCTCTCCAAAACTTTCTTGGATTGCTGGTCTGCAATAAAAGATCTTTATTTCTTTCTGAGTAATCTGTCTAAAAGGCAAAGTTTTTATGTCTTGCCAAACAAATGCCCTATCCTGTATGCTGACTACATCATGTCTTCAATTATTTTTAAAAGGCCTTTTCATTTTAAAGGAACTAAGAATCTTTACAGTCATGTTACCGCCTATGTTTACTTGAAATTTTTTGTCACTTTGATTCAATAAAGAATTAAGTATTATTTCTCACTATCCCATAATCTTATTTGATCAAATGTCCAAACCTCCTGATAACATTTGACATTTTGCATTCCCTATACCAAATGTGAGATATCTTTTACATCTAAAACTGATTTCCCAGAGTACCCAAGGGTTTATTTGTTCTTTTGCCTTGTAATGAGAGGTGTTAAAAATAATAGGTTTATTTAATATTCTATAAATTGCATGGAATGCATTGTCCAATCACCCCCCCCAATAATGCTTAGTCTTTCCTAAATTAAATTTTAATGCTACTGAACTGTACACTTAAAATGGTTAAGATGGTAAATTTTGTTATGTGTATTTTACAGTTTAAAAAGACAACTTACTGGCTCCTCTTTGTCCTTTGGAGCAAGTCTAAGTCCTTGTTATGACAGAAGGATATGACCTTGCCCATCTGTCTGTGATCATGTGGTCTTTGTCGTTTATTAGATTGATATGCTGTGTCAGTTTCCCTAAGTCCACCCCCAGGGTCAGTGATTCTCTAGGAGGACTCCGGGAATCAGTATATAGTTGTCCTCAAGACTAAGATGTACTACTGCAAAAGGATACCAAACATAATTAGCAAAATGAAAAGCCAGTGTTGTTAGTCACAGCTGTAGGTTTTTATTAAGGGCTGGTCATATAGGCACTTTCTGCCTGACACCTACCCAAATTCCCAACTCCCAGAAGGCAATTAGAGATTCAGCATAAAGCACATTGTTTGTACAGACGATCTACGTCATTAGCCCGATCTCTTATCATTTAGAAAAAGGTTCATATGCATGTAAAGAACTGTCTACCTTTTCAAGTTCCCAGAGGTCAGCAAATGGGTCACCTTGCAAGCAGGCCTTTCTAAGGAGAGTAGTCTGAGACTTGCTAGGTTAACTCTTGTCTGAACACGATCCAGCTAACATCACCTCCTCCACTGCTTCCTCATCATAAACTGCAGCCATATCAAACCACAGGGCACTCCCCAAACATGTCACACTGTTACCTGTCTTCCATCTAGCATAGGAGATTCTTCTTACTCCTGTACCCTTCCCTTCAACTCCTTGAAAATGTTTTCAAGAGGAACATCTACCATCACCTCTGTGAAGCCTTCTCTGATTCTGTGAGAACAGCCAAGTCACATGGTCCTTCTAGTATGCTGCCATAGTGCCGTATCCATACCCACAGGTAAGCACTTACCACTGTCAAGGGCTGTGACCTCCTAAAGGGCAGAGACCAAGTCTTATTTTTCTGTATCCCTAGTGCAGTATATGGCTTGGCAGGAGCTAGTAACTAAGTAAAATTTGGTTTAATTGTGGAATGTGTGGTTCATTAATTCACAGAACAAATCAAGTTGCTCACATTACTCTGCTCATTACTTCCCCTGCCTTCTGACCTACATCTGCACTCAACCTTCCCTCCGGTTTTGGAGATACAGCCCTCTCTTTCCTGCTCAAGACTCTAGAACCTGCCACACTCTGACTTCAGTGACCCTTCACCTTCAAGTTTGCTCACTCTCTCTTTGAACTGCAAACTCACCTCATCTGGCAGGTATTTCCTCCCCTGGGCACATAAGCTTCATTCTGTAGCTGTTTATCTACTCACTATTTCCGCATCCCTCACTTCACAGCCAATATTTTATTTTATTTTTAAGTATGTTTTTAAATATATTTTTATTGATTTCAGAGAGGAAGGGAGAGGGAGAGATAGAAACATCAATGATGAGAGAGAATCATTGATTGGCTGTCTCCTGCCCACCACACACTAGGGACTGAGCCCACAACCTGGGCATGTGCCCTGACCAGGAATTGAACCGGTGACCTCTTGGTTCATAGGTCAGTGCTTAACCACTGAACAACACTGGCCAAACCATAACCAACATTTTAGAAAGAGTTGTACACCTGTACCAACTGCACTCCATCTCCTCACTGACCATTCCCTCCTCAATCAACCATAATCCAACCATAACCTTTTTCTCTTCCAACATGTCCTCCTTAAGGCAGCTATAAATTCTATGTTGCTAAACCTGGTGGGCCTATCTCAAGGTCCACAGCACACAGGAAAGTTAGCTCAGCCTTGCTTGGTTTTCATGACTGTACTCTTTCTAGTTTCTTCCATTTATCCAAAATTGTCTTTTTCCTCAGCTCCTCTTCCTCTAGAAGACCCTTCAATATTATTTTCCAGAATTCTGATCCATCTGCCTTTCTCTCTTGTTTTTTCTTTTTTTAAAACCTTTCTTCTTTTTACATATATTCGATTAGAGTTTTAGAAGGCCAATAATTATTATCCCCCATTTTTTTTTCTTTTTGAGACAAAAGAAAAGCAGAAAATGGAGATAAATGTCAGCTGGTGAAGCAAATGGCTTTACATGTAGAGCCAAAAGGATGACTCCCCTTGCATTCCTGAACCACAGGGACTTACTCATCCAGCCAAGGGCCTGGCAAGACCACTGGCCACAGATGCTTGTGGAGAGAAGCAGAGAATTTAAGGGGAACCTTCTGGGCTGTACATCTAAAGTCATCTGTTTCCAAAGATGGAGAATTAGGGGTCAAGCTTGGTCTGTAATCCCCAACTTGACAACCAAATAAGCCATTCTTTCCCAAGAGAACAGGAGGAAGAAAGACCAGCAGAATAAACAAAATTCCAGAGAAATGACATTCTACCCCCTCCAGGTAATCTCATTTTCCAGGTAACCTCATTCACTGTCTAGCCCCAGGTCTAATCTTCACTCAATTTCAGGCCTGTTTACTCATAGCCTATTGGACATAGTTGCCTGTATTCCCTACAGGCAGTTCATATTCAACATGGCTCAAGTGCCATTTGCACGACACCCTCACAACCTTGCTGTAGGCCCTTAGCTAGTTCCTGTCATGGTTAGGGGCCCACACCATCCACCAAGTTGCCAAACCATGAAATTTTTGGAACAGCCTTTGCTACCATTTTCTCTCACCTTTCCCCTTAACAGAGCAACAAGACTTATGGCCTCATTACCTCTCCCTTTGCTGAGCAGATGTCTCCTAATTGGTCTGAAACATCTTGCTTTATACCCCCGGGCCTGATGCTACACATGGCAGGTGGAAGGAATCTTCCTACAAATCACGGCTGCTCTGGTCTGTCATCTCAGTCATCTCACTCTCCTGAAAGCTATCTGTGGCCCCTGGGGCATCAGAAGGTGAGTCACACTACTTAGCCTAGGAATAGGTGCCTGCTCAGCCCCCCTCAGCACTTCCCACCAAGCCCAATTAACCCTTCCTCCACTGCCACCACCCTGACTCTGTCTTTCCTTCACAGCATGTATATCAGGCAAAATCTTCTAGCTCCAACCTCATGCCACCTGCAAAGAAAAACCTCTCCTGACAATCCCCCACCCAACCAAAAGAGAAACCCAATTGTCTCCTTCTTCATCTAAAGCTTGCACTTTTTGCACCCCCTCTTACTAATGGGAGCACTAAGTGGTGTAGGAAGCCAAATGATGTGGCAGGAAGTTCAAAGGTGTTTGATCAGTAACTTTGGTCTGAGCTCCTACTGGGGTCAAGGACAAGAAAAGGAGTAAAAAACAAGTTGGATATTCTTAAATAACAAAACCTTTTATTTAATAGAACAGTCTGGCCATAAAAATAGCCTCCTATCTCACTAACTATGGACTCTCTGCGTTATAGTAAGAACCCCAGTACCACGAGGATGGATGAACGTTTTTATTTTATCCCTGCAAGAGAAGCCACAAGTACCATCTACTGTCTCCTGGGGTTGTAAGAGTCTCAGCTCTCCCCTTCTAGCATTTCTGTCTTGGGTGAGAAACCATTTGCTTGGTTTGGAAATGGTACAAGCTTTCAATTGCTCTTTCTGAAATCTCCAAGCAATACAAGCTCGCTGCATCTTAACAATCTGTCAACATTTTCGTAAGCTGTATAGGTTATGAGGTGTAGGAGCCAGCATTTCAGATGCTGTCAGGAGAGCATTGATTTGAACACTTCAACCCATACCACATGGTCACCTCCAGTCACAGTCATACTTGTCCTCTCACTGACACACACCAACACATCGCCAATCACAATCCCACTGCCAACCTCAATGCCACTGTCACCCTCTCTAATGCCTGCTTACTCATGCTCTCTTTCTCACACTCTCACTGCTTGACCCTGTTGCTTTCTCTCACTCACTACCATCCCCCTGTCAACACACAAATAGCCTTCACCCTACTTTGGACTCCCAACCTGAAGTGCATGTATACTGTGCCTCTCCATGCTGCTTCTACCGATAGTCCACATGTTAAGTATTAGCCAGGGCTTCTTATCTCTGAGGACAGATACCTGCTCCCACAACAGGCCTCATCCCAGCTCCATGCACCACAGGAAGACCCCTGACACAGCTCCATGCCCAGGGAGTCACCATTCTAACTCCACACTGGGCACAAGGGTGAGCATCTGAGTGTGTGATATACCAGGCACTGGCATGAACATGGGGTGAAAGCAGGCTACACCTGGGTCATGGAGTCTGACAAAATTCCAGCTTGGGCAGGAAGTAGACCAGCATAGCGTTACCCTTACCTGCTGGCCTGGGTCTTCAAGTCCATGAACTTCTGGGGTCTTCTGGGGTTGCTCTGATGCTCTGGAGTGCTGGGATCTTCAGGCTGCTGGGTAGGTGCAGCTGGGTCTCTGTGGCCACCTCTGGGGGCTGCAGGCTTCTCCTGCCAGGATTCTCCCAGCTCGATGACCACATTCTTCTCCTCAAAACCAGCCAAGGAGCTGAAAAAAAATGAGTGCCCTTATGAAGTAAATATTGTGGGACTAGTCCTTGCTTACCCTACACACTGATGTCATCTTCTGTGGACATAGCAGGCTTCTCTCCTTGAGAATGGGGCTGAGGGGAGCCCAGCATGGCCTCCATATTGGGGAGAAGACTGTCTCCTCCTCAGGAGGACCCCAGCACCAGTACTCCCTTCCTACAAAGGCCATCCCCATTTGTACTAGGTGAAGCCTGAGCCTTTTATGCTTTTGCCAACCCTTAATTCAGCTGTCCCAGACATTGAGCTCTTTGGGAGGTCTTCCTTCTTCCCTGGCCTCACATCACACCAACACTTGCACCTTCCATCACCGTCCCCATCCTAAGGTGCTTCCAAGGGATTTGTTTTCTCAGCTGATGCCTTCTCCAGAACCTCTATCCTGAGTGATGGTGCTGCTACCTGATGGCCTCCAGTGCCAAAAATGTCATATGCCCACTAGGCCAAAGGCAAAGACTAAGTCAGGTTATTAAGAGCAGGAGCCCAGGATTCCATAAAATGAAAACGTAGCTCACCATCACCTTGATTCTGGCTCACTCTGAACTCAAACCTCCCAAAATTGGCAGTCTGCCTTCAATTGATGGTGGGGCTACCTGAGGACAAAAAGCAATACCACTAGCTACCTACAGCCCTAGGACTCTTTATTTATGAAAGTTAATCCCATAGTAGGCAGGGTCCCTGCCTTCAAGCTAGAATGACAGGGGAGCAATGACCATACTTTTTAAAGAGTATGCCCTGAAAGCAAAGTGACTCTTCAGCCTCAGGTGGAGGGAACCAAAGTACTGCAGCAGGGACAAACCAAACACCATCTCCAGCTGTACCTGGAAGATCTGCAGGCAAGTGAATACTGTGCCCTTCTATGCTGCTTCTACTAATGGTCTGCTGTAGCCCAGCCAGTTATCAAAAATGGTCTGCTTACATAATGCTAATCTTTTAGCCAACGGGATTTCGTGATACATCCACTTCACCTTTGTCTGTGACAAACATGCTTGAGCAAAAGGTAAACTTGGAAGACCTAAAGAGTTTGTCTCATAACTCTCGGAGCCCTGAGCTAGCTTTACCATGGATTTAATCAAAGTCCTGTTCTATCCCACATCCTCTATAGAATTATGGTAATAGAGGTTGTCCTCACCAAGTTTGTGAATAAAGCCAAGATTCTCTGCAAAGAGCAATTTGAGGGTCTACTGTAACACAGGGACAAGTGGATGAATAAGGCTCCTTCACCCTTAGCCTCAGAGAGGAGTCACTACAGTTACAGGAGTTATAGCCCATAAAAAGAAAATCTTAGTAAAAATGTCACAGGAAGCCTTGCTGAGCAATGTTATAGCCTAGAGGTCTTCCAGGCCCATAATAAATTATTTGCAAGTTAAGAGTTTAGAGATAGGCAAGGTAATACTTCTGGCTGTAACTAGATCAAAGATCTAGTAGTCTAATACAGATACTGCCAATTTTTGACACAGTAACACTCTTTGCATAGAAGAGAACGCCCCTTTCCACTATTGTACTACCTCCAATAGACTCTGCCACAGGTTAACAACAGTTGTCCACAGTGAATAAATGTGCTTAGCTTAATGTTCACCTGTTCTTCATGCAGAAATATCATAAACCTGAAATGCCCAGATTGCAACATAACAAAGAGGAAAATAGCTTATGTTTTAGATGTAAAGCCCCAAAATAAAAGTTTAGTGGGGCCCTGGCCAGTGTTCCTCAGTTGGATGGACATCATCCTGTGCACCAAAAGGTTGCCAGTTTGATATCCTGTCAGGGCACATGCCTGGGTTATAGGCTTGATTTCCAGTGTGAGGCATGCAGGAGGCAGCTGATTGATGATTCTCTCATCATTGATGTTTCCCTTTATCTCTCCCCTCCTCTCTATCTAAAAAACCAATAAAATATTTTTTAAAAGCTCAATAGGGGGAATATGAGCTACTCTGTATTAAGTGAAATCATGCCAATAAAGGGCAGAGAGGCCAACTTTCTGAGTGTTCTTTAATAATTACAATGGAAGGAAATATTCTTCTGGGGCTGATTTATTTAGCTTTAAGTTTTTATAAACTTTGTGGCAGTAAATGCTTTACACATTCAAACCCATTTAACCCTCACAACAACTCTGTGTGATAGGAACTATCATTATGCCTATTCTGAAGGTGAGGAAACCGGAGCACAGAGTTGATGAGCAAGATACCCAAGGCCACAGAGTGACAGAGCTTAGATTTAATACCAAGCACAGGAGTCCATGCTCTTAATCACTGTGCCATATCACCTCTTCCTGTACGTGTGATGAAGCAGGACCAAAGTTAGAATAGAGCAGAATTCCTCAAGTTTTGGACAATTCCACTGCCCTGCAGGATCTCCCCGCCCATCCCATCAGCCTTCCTCACCAAACTCTTGGAAACTAAGGCCCTCCTTAAGGAATCCCAGGGCCCAGAGCAGGTAGGTCCACCCAGGCGTCCCTTGCAGGGTGAATGGTCCAGCTGCCCTCCCTGAATGTCCACAGTCCCTGTCCCCGGACAGCTCTGAAGACTAGGGTCCAGTGTCACGGATGACTGACTCCAGGGCACCCTACCAAATGGGATCAGGCCGCAGGAGCCCCTTTTGGCTCCTCGCGGGCACCCACCTCCCTTCTTCTCTCCCACCTCCATATGGACTGCGGCAGTAGAAGGGGCTTCAACACCAAGGACATCAGGAAGCTGGGTTCATCAGGCCAGAGGGGGGAAAGGGCAGTGGGAAACCAAGAAGACCAGACCCATCTATGATCCTCGCATGCCATCTGGCGGCCAGCGCGGGCATGGCCGCAAGAGAGAAGCACCCGGGAGGCCACTCTGGCCCCGGGCAGCCATTTCGCTTTGTGGACAATCGCCTTTCCCAATATGCACTGAGACCAGAACTTGCCACTGCAGGAAATGGCAGCCCGCGCAGGCTTACAAACGCTGGGAAGTGGTGCACACGCCAGGCGCATGCGCACGCACGCACGCACGCACGCAGGCGCTCTGTGCACGCAGGAGATGGGGCACGCACACACATGCGCACATAGGATGGGCTCACGCTGGACACAGGCGCATGCTCTCTAGGTGCAGGCGCACGCACTGCAGGCACGCACGCACGCACGCACGCACGCACGCACCCACGCCAGGCTTGGACGCAAACACGCAAGCTCGTTGGGCGCAGGCGCACGCATGGTCACT